AGTAAAAAATCTCTTTTATGTATAAAAAATTGTTATAAAATAAAAATACTACTAATAAGACAAAATTCACTTATGAAATATAAAAGTTACTTATAAGTAAAAAAATTCAATTAAAGTTATTTAAAAGTATAAAATTTACTCACAATTGTAAAATTTACTTAAGTAAAAAATATTAACTTAAAATTTTAAATTAAATATTAACTTATAGGTAAAAAAAAAATTCATATAAAAGAAAAATTTACTAAGGGATATATATACGTAGTTTTATTCATTTAAAAAACTTTCAGAATGGTGAATAATAAATTCACAAGCATAAGTTAGAGAGTTTAAAAAATCGTTACTAAAATCACTCAAAATCGATTCGCTCAAAATCGATACTTTACTTTAAAAAACGTTCATAACCGGTACGACGAAAGTCTCAAGCAGACCCTTAAGGTCGGGCCAAACCAGCCACTGGACAAAAATGTGTTTTTACTTTCTTAATTGTTTCAACAGAAGTTCTTTCTCTTACAAATTAATGTTTGTTTTTATTATCTAATTCAATTAGTGGCATAAGTGGATGCGGAGCTGGGAAGGAGATGATGACATGGGAAAAGGTGAAGCAGAGTTATTTTTGCGTACTCTAAACTTGACCAGCGGTCTCAGTAATCGCTGGGCATAATAAGTAAAAAATCACTTTTATGTATAAAAAATTGTTATAAAATAAAAATACTACTAATAAGACAAAATTCACTTACGAAATATAAAATTTACTTATAAGTTAAAAAAAATTCAATTAAAGTTATTTAAAAGTATAAAATTTACTTATAATTGTAAAATTTACTTATAAGTAAAAATATTAACTTAAAATTTTAAATTAAATATTAACATATAGGTAAAAAAATTCATATGAAAGAAAAATTTACTAAGGGATATATATATGTACTTTTATTCTTTTAAAAAACTTCCAGAATGGTGAATAATAAATTCACAAGCATAAGTTAGAGAGTTTAAAAAATTGTTACTAAAATCACTCAAAATCGATCCGCTCATAAACGCTCAAAATCGATACTTTAAAAAACGTTCATAACCGGTACGACGAAAGTCTCAAGCAGACCCTTAAGGTCAGGCCAAACCAGCCACTGGACAAAAATGTGTTTTTACTTTCTTAATTGTTTCAACAGAAGTTCTTTCTCTTATAAATTAATGTTTGTTTTTATTTTCTAATTCAATTAGTGGGATAAATGGATGCGGAGCTGGGAAGGAGATGATGACATGGGCAAAGGTGAAGCGGAGTTATTTTTGCGTACTCTAAACTTGACTAGCGGTCTCAGTAATCGCTGGGCATCGCATGATCTATTATCATCTCATCATAATTATCAACAACTCTTGGATATCACTAATAGAGTCTGCAACCAACTTCGTCTATATCAACGCAAAAAGGTGAATGATCAATTTACCAATTTTCATATTCAGCACTATTCAACTTTTTGACAAACAAAGTTTTGACATAGTATTATCACGCGGAACAGTTACATGGCGCAAATGGCCGCATCAATGGTACCGGAGACATCACAACCGTCGAAATAGAATCCGACATGCAAGAACTAGTAAAACTAGTGCTTATCAAATCCTCAGATGACATTGATACCAATACTAAGAAAGCATTTCTTAATGTTGCTAGGAGTTTCTACTATGCTGCCTATTCTAGTCCGCGAACTACAAATTTTCATATAGCCAAGGTGCTATTTGAAAGAGTAATGTGAATTTCAGAATTTGTACGTATATATATTATTTCTTGATATTGATATTTTCATCTTTTTAACCCAAATCCTTCATGTCCTTCCTAGTAAAAAACCCATGAGGGAAAAAGAAAAAGGGTAAATTGCAGTGGTCGTCCCCGCACTTTATCCTCCTTTCGCACTTCAATCAATTCAAATTAAAAAGTATCTTTTTCAATGATCAATAGTTGTATATGAGAGTAGGCATGTGTGCTCGTCTAAAAGAGCAAACACAATCATTAAAGGATAAAATATAGAAGATTGCATATCTTATCCCAAATATATAATGGAGATTAACCTGATCAAGTATTTAGAGATTTGATCAAAACTGATCTTTTGCCCACGGTGGGTAGGAGATATATTGTCAACCGTTGATGTGACAACACCACATGTTGTCACATCGACGGTTGGAGGATAAACTTAAAAATCAACCGTCGTATGACAACATCACACGTTGCCACATTGACGTGTGAGTAACATAACTCATGTCCACTGTGAATAGGAGATCAATTCTAGAGAATTGATTACTCATTTAAAACAAGCAAGAAAATGTATCAAAAATGTTAAGAGTCAGTACTCTTCTCGTATTTTCTTCTCAAATTTTGCTTTCAGGTGGTGATGATCAAAAAGTATTTGATTTTCAATGTGAACTAATTGATCCCTTACTACAAAATCTTACCTTTGAATATTGAAATTTGAGAACAAAAAATTGGAGCATATCAAGACAAACAAGGGCAAAGATGGGAAGACAATTTTTTATTATTATTTTTTTGCACTGAGCTAATACACAGATTTAAAAAAAAGGCATAAAAATTAAACAGAACTTAGGCTCTACTTGACTAAATTCCACGACCGTTCCCTATCTAGAACCCCCGAAGACAAAGCTCGTGAGGAAACATAAGACATGCCGTATGTCACAACTTAGGACTATTCATCAAAAATAAATTAATAAAGGATAGGTACAAGCAGACAATGTTATCTAGTCATATTTACAACCAAATGGCAATCCTAGCATGGGATTCGAGCTTAGACTCACCATGTGGTGCCTATACAAGGAGTGGATCCAAAAATGGTTAATCTGCTTCAAGTAGCCATGACACTGGGGCCAACAAGTGATAAGAAAGGTCAGAACATCAATGGAATAAACTCCCCTATTGGATTCCATTGTATATTAAGACTCACGTGTGTTTCACTACAATCTACGTCACGAATCTTGATAATCCACGCGTCACCACATTAGACTCTGTTTGTATATTTGAAAATGTGGACCGGACATTACAAGACAATATTAAATAAGAAAATACTCAGTTCAATCTTATATTGCATATCAGACTGACTTATCTTTAACTCACAAGTGACTCAATAACGCCACTTGAGCACCTTCGAAGAATAAGGAAACTAGACCGCTAATATATGGATATTTTGCCACCTAATATGGGCAATGGAGTGTTGCTTTACAACCTCCACTAATGCTTTTCAACTATAGTGTATGGTTCATATTTGGAAGGACACCTATGGCAAGTGCAAACTTCTATATCTTTGCATTTTACATCTGTTGTGTAAGCGGCCTACATAAAATATATAATGGAACCCACATGACCAAATGGTGAAGAAGATGGCATCCATCAAGGCCAAATCAATTGTAACCTTCAGATTCAGGCTATCAATAGCCCACACAACCTTCACCCTATGTGGTGAAAGAAAACCCATTCATTGAGAATGATAGTCTTCAAACCAATGATGAAAAAAATTATTTACCCATTTAGGATTTATAAATTTGACAAAATATGTACATCCTAGTCTAACATCCCTTGACAAAATATCTCTATATTCCTTTAGGATTTATGGAAATGTTTGATACGCTTGACCAGATAACACTAGATAGAAGTAAAGAGAAGAAACGTTTGAGAAATAAGTTCAATGAACTTTTCAGTGCGCTCGAATCCAACGAACCAAAGATATCAAGAAAATCTACTTTACTAATCAAAGTATGGATTACAAATCTAAATACATTACACAATCTTGTGTACAATGGTAAATATCATGGACAAATTGTAATATGTTTATATGATTCCTAGTAATCCAAATACACGTGTTTTCAACCTAGTACTCGCCTCATTATCTATTTCCATATCTAGGCTCAAACTCAATTCAGCCCAGTTTCTAAACTGAATGATCCAAACCAACACACGGATCAATTGGTTGTCCCACTCACGCCTTGGACTGAAAATGAGTGGGCTCAGCTCACAATCTTCAATACAACTTGGGCTCAGCCACAATCCTCAAAGCTAAAAGATGATATTAGACAGCTATACTTCAAGACCAATTGGTGTAGATTAAAGGTTGATTGAAATTTTAAATTGAAATCAATAATTAATTTTAATCGAAAAATCGCATTTCATCATTTTTTTTAATTAAAATATACTAAAAATTTAATTTTAATCTATATCAAACAAGGGCTAAGAGTACCGAGTGAAAGTCGTTCAATGATAAAATTTCCTAAAGATGAACACTATAAAAGAAAAGTTAAGATGAATATTTGATTATATTGTAAATGAAAATATTCGACATCAGTAATGGTAACACCAATTGAAAATATATTTAGCTCCCATTTGAATTAGCTAAAAATTAAATAAAAATTTAAGTGAAAGTCAACAATTAATTTTAAATCCACATTTTATGAGATCTGCACTTCTTATCAATTTTTCAACCATCTTTAATCAATTTTTTTTAATCAAGTTTTACTAAAAATCAGATTTTAAGCTAAACGAAACATAGGCTAAGTGAATATGGCTTGGATAATTGAGAAATAAATTTAGCTCATTTTTGGTTTAGATGAAAATTAAATTTTTAGTAGATTTTGATAAAAATTGCTAGAATGATCACATGAAATCTGATGTTAAAATTAATTATTAACTTTGACTTGATTTTAATTCACTTTTTTAGCTAAACCAAACACGGACTAAGCAAACACGACTTAGATAAAATTAAGTTGATAATCTATCAATATAATTCCTCAATTTAAAATATTAACAATATTCGCATTCAATATGTTCTAATGGAAATAGAGGACGCAATAGTGTAAAAGAAAACAGAAAGAGAGTTATATTTCATCAATTGAAACGGAGTAATTTTGATCAGATGCATGACAGAATAAGCACGAAAACGGATGTCTACCAGTAATTCTAAAATTGTAGTGACGAATCCTTCTAGCTACGACTCAACTTTGAATTAAAAGTTTCACAGACCTTGATGATTTTTAATATCATCAACTGTCGATGAAATTCCGGCCGGTAATGGGGAAATCATGTCAAAGACTTCACAATTCTCAGAAACTCCTAATCTTGATTTTTCTATCTGTGCAAAACCTGTCGGATTCAGGCGGGGGAACGGCATTGACAGTGCATGAACCACAATCTTCTTGTTGTACACCATATCAAAGTTCTTGATCTTCATGTAATTGATCCTCATTGGCGCCAATGGACCGCTGCCGCCAGCAGTGGTGATCACTAGACTCTGCCCTCTCTCCATAGTTGGCAGCCCTGTCCCCTTCGGCAGGCTTACTAAGTCTGCCGCCATCAACAACTTGTTAGGCACGACGTGGAACCCAAGATCCTCCACGTAGGAGTGTCCGCTGCCGCCGGCGAAAATGGAGGAGTCGTCTAGAGCGAAAAGGGTCATGGACTTGAGGTTCGAGAGTTCCGGGTACTTGACCCGCATTGCCAGAGCCAGCACACTGTATCCACTAATTCGCAGTCTCATCATGGCGTCTTTTAGCATCAGGCGCATCATGAGGAACGCAGCCACAGGCGGCAGGTGTTGGGGGAATGACAGAGAAGTCATTCTTTCAACGCTGCAAGAAAGTGGAGATAAGTGGGAGATGAAACCCTGTATGCCATGGATGACGAGAAGTCCATTGTTGAAGAGGTCTGGCTTGGTGATTTCGACGCCATTGATGAAGACTTTTTTGTTGGCTAAACTGGTGGCGGAGTGAGTGGAAGTGATGGTGAGGCAGCGGTTGGGAGCGAAAGTCTCGATCTTGGTACCGAAGGCTAAAGTGCGGAGAAAATGAAGGGGGTAGAGGCCAGGGAGAGAGTGTTCTTGGAGGAGGAGAGGGATGGAGCAGGAGGGACAAGTGAGAAGGGATGAATCAGTGGTGGCGAAGATGGTGGTGGGAGTGGCAATGGAGAGGTTAGCATCCGCGGTTGCGGAGGAGAGATCTTGGAAACCGAGAGTGGAGAGAATGGTGGCGAAGAGAGAATGCGGCGATGGATGGAGAGACGGGGCTAATGCGGCGGTGGAAGTGGTGGAGATGAAAAGTGAGGTGAGGAGGATGATGAACAGGGCGGCGGCGCTCGCCATTGGTGATGATGGTGCTGCTTGAATTGCAGTGTAATTTGGAGAATGACGAGAGGTTTGACTTTGACAGTTATATGAGAAACTGGAAATCAAGAATCTGTTGTTTCGTTTATATGACGGAAATGCCCCCGAAAGTTGAATTATGTTAGCAATGCGGTCAAATCCACTTATTGCCACCAAACTTTAGACATGATGACGTCACTTCATTTGGCCCTGTTTGGGAGAAATTTTAATTAAGATTTTAATCAAAATTCTAGTAGTTAACTATCAAATCAGCCACCATTTTTGACTTTCCCTCTCACGGGTGGGGCCCACTGGTTGACTATAAGTCTATAACGGCTATAATTTTGATTAAAATCCCACAAAAATTGCTTCCAAACACGCTCGATTTTATTTCACTACGATCACCCAAGTTTATACTTAGTGTCACGGGCCACCAAATTTAATTTTGTTTCACCATGGCCACCCAACTTTATACTTTTGTTACCATAGTCATCTAATTTCATATAACATTATCATGGTCACGCAATTTTTTTTTCTCGCTATTTTCACTAATTTTAAAATGAATAAAATGGTAATTGCATTATATATGTAAAACTAAATTTAAAAAACAAAATTTTTTATTTTATTTTCAAAAAGTTTTTTAAAATAAGTTTTTATTTTATTTTATTTTATTAAGTAACTTTTTTTAAAATAATTTTTTATTTTATTTTGAAAACGTTTTTTTAAAAATAAGTTTTTTATTTTTATTAAGGAACGCTTTTTAAAAATAACTTTTATTTTATTTTAGTTTTCTAAGTAACTAACTTTTTTTAAAAAATAAGTTTTTATTTTATTTTGAAATTTTTTTAATAAGTTCTTATTTTATTTTTGTTTCTTAAAAATTAATTATATATATATATAATGCAAAATTATCATTTTACCAATTTTAAAATTAGTGAAAATGATGAAAAGAAATTGAGTGGACATTGTGAAACACTATATGAAATTGGATGGTCGTAGAGAAACGTTATATGAAATTGGGTGGTCATGATAAAATAAATCAAATTTGGTAGCCATGGTGACACTAAGTATAAAGTCGAGTCGTCATGGCGAAACAAAATCAAATTCAGTGGTTGGTGACACCAAATCTAAAGTTGGATGGTCATTAGTGGATTTAACCCATTAACAAAATAATTCGTATCTATTTATAAACACTTCCCTAACGAGTCTTCGCAAATTCTTTGTGGGTTGTGTATAAAACTTTTGATTAAATTTTTAGTAGATTTTGATAAAAGTTAATGAAATATATAGTTAAAAAATAGATAAAAGCTGGATATAATATAAATTGTGTGGTTAAAATTAAAATCCAATCCGTTGAAAAGAGCAAAATTTTATCAAACAAACACTAAAGCCTATTTGATTCAGCTACAAAAGCTGATAAAAATTCAAATTAAAGTCAAACAATCAATTTTAAATCACATTTCATCAATTTTTATAAAAATCTATTAAAAAATTCATCTTTACCCAAACAAGGGCTAAATCTTTTCATATAGCTTGGTCCCCTTAGCTAATGAAAGGAATTTATACATTATCTTGGTGTTGGAAAGCGATTCTTGAAAGAAGTCTTGAAGAAGAAGCACATTTGGGAGTAAATAAAAACAATAGGTCTTTACTTGAAATGATGTGCACCGTAACCACTCCCCTTATTTGAGTGAAATAACACAAATGTCAATGATAACAACAGAGCCTTGTTCAACAATTTCTAGACTTATTTACCCAACACAGATTGGAAAAAAGGCCAAAATGAGCAAACAAGAAACTTCTTCGGTTATTTTTGAAAAATTAGCATGTGGGCGTGGAGATCCATGTTCGGCAGAATCCACCTCTTTAAGTGAGCAAACTCACGATAAGACCTTACTTTTCTAACATCTCTAATATGTTAAATACTACTATAAAAGAAATAAATTTTACGCTGTGTTAGGATTTACGTGCCGAGGGACAATCTGAGATAGTGTCCACCGACTCTCGATTGCCAAGATAAAAGAAGCTTGATCACAGGACTCGCTATCGAATAGGAGATATGAAAATCAGCTCTTAACACACCTTGTATTTTATAAACAATAATGATTGGAGATTATATTACATTTCTCTACAAGTAGGAAAAATTTATGTTTTGATAATGACATAACACCAAGATAAAATGTTTTACAATACAAGATTGGTGAATGAGTGCATGGAAAAACAATATGAGATTTCGCTTATCACTATGAATTAATTCTTGAACCCTTCATTTTCCTTCCTACCTTTCACCTACTTCGAATCAAATTCCCCTTATTCTTCTCATGGGGTGGTTTCACTCCATTTTTTCCCCATTGAAGAAAATTTGGCACCGTCTCCGTGCTACCAAAAGAAACCGTACTTTTCGATCCATTTCTATCTTGATTTTACTTCTAATTGCTTGTGTTCATTCTTATTCATGGTTGCTTCTGTATTTCATCTCATTTTATCTTTTAAGCATGTGTCTGGTACAATACTAGAGGTGTAAAATGTTCGGACGAAGCCCTGTCCACATGGATCTAGTTGGTACTTGTTCGATCGTGTTCAGTCGAACGTACCAATATTTCCATGCAAATTACAGTCGAATTGATTACCTCTATTTCATAATCTTGTATAGTTACAAGTATCTGTCTAATTTATTTTTGTTTTCAGGTGGGGGAATATACACACTGTATGAAGATGTGAAGTCGTGTTCTTGTGAAGATGTGCAAGCTTTATGGACACTGCTGGTGGATTCAGATGCAAAATTTGCATAAATTCATGAAATATGATATACATGGGTACTGTCAAAATGCCAATATTCAATAAGGAGAATCAATGAGAATGTTTTCTTCCCTTTTATATTTTCTTTGTTATTATTTTTTAACTGTCTTCAAGTACATATTGAAATGATGAAAAGTGATCAGACTAGACTGATTTATATTTTCTAAAACCAGTTCTTGGCATGGGTTGTTTTAAGGATTGTATTAGAATTCTGCGGGTGTACAAAAACTGTACAGAATCTGTACACCACAGAAACACACCAGACCATACACAAGCAGGTGGGGCCCGCCATTTTTTGCAATACTTAAATACACTGTGGGGCCCTGTTTTAGTCTATTCTGGCAAATTTCTGTTGCTTCTTCTTCTGTACAAATGGGAAAAGCCATTGTATGAATCTATTAGTTAATGAAGTCGAGATAGATGTCAACACACGAATCTTGTACTTATAGAACTACAAATTAATATCATATTTTGGCAGCGTTATAGGAGAAGATTATTAAAGTGAAAAAGATAGAGGGAGGGGGAGCAACATCTTATTCTCTTCGCGAGAACTTTTGAATTGAAGAAAAGTATATAACGTGTTAATGTAGTTATGTTATTCATTCATGTACATTTAAAAATCGCAAGAGAATTGAAAGTGGATATGAGCTTGAACGCGGCAAAATTTTATTTAGGCCAAATTTGACTTCGATAAAAAATAGATTTTGATAAAAGTTGATGGAATGCGTAATTCAAAAGTTGTCGATCTCATGAAGCGTGTGGTTAAAATTATTTGTTAATAAAAAGTTTTAGCTGAACCTAACGAGGACTTACATAATACTATCGGTATATTTCATTCTTATGCTTTTCAGCTTTTGTCCCATCTTTGTACAAATCAAATTTTTACTAGATTTTGATATTTAAAAATAAAAAACTGAACCAAATATGGACTTCAATTATATTAACGGTATATTTTTACTCTTGCACTTTTGCCTCATGTTTGGTGTATATTAAAATTAGATTTTAGCATATTCTAATATAAGTTGATAAAATGTATGATTGAAAAGTTATAAATTCGATTTAAAATTAATTGTTTACTTTCACTCAACCTACACCAAAAATGGGCTTAATCCAACTTTTGTTGCAACTTGCAATGGGCCGATGTGTGATATTATCTTGGCCCAAAATTGGAAACTTCTACTACTATTCATTAGGCCCAGTATTATCTAGGTTAGGCTCACAATATTCTGTCATTTCCAAACCCTAGATTTAAAGGCTCGGCAGCTGGTGAACATCCACCCGAAGAAGACGACCACTGAGGATTCAATCTACTTACTATACCGTAATATTCTAGCCGTCTCTCTCATTCTAAATTAATACATGCAGATTTAAGTTCCTGTTATGTAGGGTTTGATTGAAAATATTAATGTTTTCTGGTAAAATTACAGGAAAATGGCGGAAAAGGCAGTGACAATTAGAACAAGGAAGTTCATGACAAATCGGCTCCTCTCCAGGAAACAATTTGTGAGTTCTCAGATAGTTATGATCTTCGTCTTTTTTTTTTCTGTTTTAATTTATATTTTTAACATCTCTTTTGCATATTGGTTTATTTTGTAGATCATTGACGTGCTCCATCCAGGAAGACCCAATGTTTCTAAGGTTTGATATCTTACTATAATTATTTTTTCTATAGCGTATTGCTTACTATGCCGGCGTTTATTCTTTCAAGTATTAGGTGTTTCATTTTTTCCAGAAATCCACACGTGCACTTAAACCTATAGGAATGCATTATGCACTATGTCTTCTATCATACACATCTGTCAGAAATTGTATAAATAAGGTCCCTATCAGTCTTTAATTTAATTATTACATGTTAATGTGTGCGCTAGGAAATGTGATGATGAAGGGGAATAGATGAATGCCTCTGGTATTCTTGTGTAAATTTTTATTAAAGATACTTTTGATTCCCAATAGCTGTCTTCTGCCCAATATTCTTATTATACAATGTGGAGTGCATTTCTGTTTTCTTGGTAATTTAAGTCCATTTGTATTACGGTTTGTGTCTTACGGGTTTCTGCTGTTGTCAAAGGCCGAGCTGAAGGAAAAGTTGGCAAGGATGTATGAAGTTAAAGACCCAAATGCAATCTTTGTTTTCAAGTTCAGGACCCACTTTGGTGGAGGCAAATCTACTGGGTTTGGCTTGATCTACGATTCTGTTGAGAATGCTAAGAAGTACGAGCCAAAATACAGGCTTATCAGGGTAATTTCTTTGCTCCGTTGAACTTCTCACTGTTTCTTCTCACACTCACAGTCGTTGCATTAAAGTGCAAATAATAATTTGATTGCTTTGCTGTGCTGTGCTGGTTTATGAATTCTGATTTATAATTTGTAATTGCGACTGTCAAGCTGTTAGCTATACTCGATATGGCCCTTTTTTATGAAGTTCTTGCTCTGTTTGCACGATTAAGACTTTTTTCTTGCAATTGGAATATGACCGTTCAGTAATTGTGACTTGCTAGGATCTTTTTTTCTGCTGTGATAAGCATATTATTCCGGAACAGTTATTTTATTAACAACATTTCGAAGAAGATTAGAGGGAAACACAAATTACATACGTAAATTTTCTTTCTATATGGATATTATTCCTGAACAGTTCTTTTACAATGATACTTGAAAAAGGTAGGAAATAGATACTCTAAACCTAAATTTGTGTTTTTGATTCTATTCCACTCTTTCATCCCTATGTAAACGTATTTTTGCTGGCCTTTCCTCTTATCTTTTATTTGCTAATGGATATTTGAAGAGAAGGGAAAAAAGATTTGGCTTTGTGATTTTTTTCTGTATTATTTGATCTTTAAAAATCATCCATTTTGTTTGTTGTTTTGTATGTGAGATTAATCCGTTGCATGGAAATTCAATGTAATTATGATATTTGAATACGGTGGTGTTTATAGTTGGTTCTAATCTCTTAACGGTTCTGAAGATTTAAGACGCTATATATTTTGATTGTCTTTAACTCTTTGTACTTCTTTATGCAGAATGGTCTTGATACAAAGGTTGAAAAGTCTAGGAAACAATTGAAAGAGAGGAAGAATAGAGCAAAAAAGATCCGTGGTGTGAAGAAGGTAAAAAAAAATCTTTTGCAATTGACACTTCTTGAAAGCCTCTTCTTTAAGGCCCGACCATACATACCCCCCCACCCCGCCCAGTTTTCTCCTTCAGAAAGGGGAAAAATCCAATCTACTCTTACCAAGTAGAGGAATGTAACCTTTTCTAGCTTTCCAATTCTACATAATTCAGACTAATTTATTCTGATAACATACTTAATAATTTTGTTGTGCAGACCAAGGCTGGAGATGCTGCCAAGGCTGGCAAGAAGAAATGAGTTTCCTTGATTTTGAGCTTTCTAGGTTTTCAAATCAAATGCGAGAAGTTCGAGGTTCTCGATTCATCTGTTTTCTTTTACTGTAGTTTAGATTTTTTCCCTTAACTTTTATTAAACAGATGCAATTTTTGTGGAATGTGTTCAACTTTTGTTCATTTTATCCAAGAGCTACTAAGCAAACCTGTTTGAAACATTTTGCCGACTTCAGCGAGCTACAAAATTTAAGGACATCGTTGCAGTGAATTTTAATTCAGTACTTATCTTGCCTCTCTACAGTATGTAGAGAAATACTCAATCGTTGGTTCTGATTTCATTCCTTTTGATCTTTTAGCTTTGTATTGTTAGTAGTTTGAGTGGATAATTTCCATTCTCACTTCCACGAATGCAAAAATCGAAATAAAGGGGATTATATGCTGCTGGGATTATTTCCATAATGTGAAACTATCCATAATTTTGCAACGTTGGCGAATGGATTGAACATCAATATAGAATTTTTGGTGTAAATTAAAGGGGATAATATGCTGGGATTATTTCCATACAAAAACTTAATTTTGGTGGGTATTTTTGTACTCCTTGTAAAGTTTCATCGTCGACCCATTGGATTTGAATTCGATTGCGTCATTGTATACATTGCTTTCGGTATGCAACAGCAGAATATATGAATAGTCGAAAAAGTACTATATCCCAACTTTTAGGTAGACATAAAAGCTTCCATTGTGTCCAATGCAATTTATTTTTGCGATCCACTCATACGCGAGCTCATCTCCAAATCATTTCATTTGTTTGCTACATGGCATTGAATTTGAAAGGGGAAATCGACTCATCGCTAAATGAATAGCGAGTTTGGTGATTATTAGAGTAGAGTTGTGCCAAAAGGTACTGGTGCCTGTCAACAAAACATCGTGAAGAATTCAGTGTAACGTCTTGAAATGAACGAATCCCTTCGTACATAAATTCCGATCCCAAGTAATGCCACCACAAATATGAACACCCATCGCAGCAATTTCCATGTTAATGGATGCAAGAGTGAAAATTTTCGTAGCCAAATCTGAAGCTTTTCCTTACCTTTCCTCAACATTCAAAGACGGCTCTTTTACTTATTTGTTATGGTATCTGCTAAGAATTTCTCGTTCAACTTAATTAAAAAAAAAAAAAAAATAGTAATAGTAAATAAAAGTGTCCTTTCAAGTGACATATTTCCTCGGCCCAATTAAAAAATTACTGATGGCGGCCCATTTATCCTAAACAACCCAGTTAGCATTGACACATTTGTCTCGTCTTCCATATATATAAAAACCCTAGCTTCACAATTGGGCTAGGGTTTGTGGCTATTTCCTCACTGAAGCGAGGCAGTGGATCTGGGTTAATAGCAGCTTCTCCACATCCAAATTCGCAACGTTAGCCATGGTTATCCTCTCTTTCTTTTTGTCTTTTCATTTGTATTCAGCATTTTTATCCTTTTTATTTGTTCTTCTGCTGATCCGTTCCTTGTGTTATGGAAAAAAAATTTAATTGCAGTCTCTGATAGCAAATGAGGATTTCCAGCATATTCTGCGTGTGCAGAACACAAACGTGGATGGGAAGCAGAAGATCATGTTCGCCTTGACCTCCATCAAGGGTATTGGCCGCCGTTTTGCCAATATCGTTTGCAAGAAAGCCGACATCGACATGAACAAGAGGTTAATTTCTTTGTTCAATTTTTATATTTTAGCAATCTAGCTCGTTTTTATCCCATTTACGGTTCATTAAAAATAAAATAAGTGACAATAATCTATAATTATATGGAAGAACCCTTTTTTGGTGCCTGTTAATACTGTTAAGTCTATCTGATATATAGACAGAATGCTGTGATAAGACATTAATTTTTTTTCTTTTTTATGGATTAATTAATGTGTGCAACAGCAAAAGTGAAAACTTTAAATTTTCTTCTATTAATAGTGGCTTTATCTATTTGTGGTTTTGTGCTTCTTGGAATCATTGCCTTCAATTTATGATGTTTATGCTTGTGATCTATGTATCCTTTTTGCTATTCTTTTTCTTTTTAAATGTAGTTTCCATGCTGCAGCTTGTCATTGCGGTACAATTTTAGATCTATGTTGTCTTGATTGTTTCCACTCTTCACACTTGAGGACACATTGCACCTTGCTTGATGAGCTGTGATGAAATCTTATTCCTGATGGTCTGTCTATCATGCTCGGATATCACATTTCTGTATGAGGTGGACTTCAAGTCATGCTTGAGAAATTGGGTTTTAGATTGGGGTAAAGTTTGAGTTGAATTAATATATTTAAACCTTAAAATTTCAGTTGTTGAGTCCCACTGGGACCTATGGATTTATCTGATGATTTCTCATCTACTGCTGGAGATACAGATCATGAAAAAATCAAATATTAAGATGTTCCAAATCTATTTTTCTGTGGCTTGATTTGGATGTAAACCATTAATTAGTGTTTTGTATTTTGGCACAAGGATAGCACTGTACTCCATCAAGATGGTTACTTCACACCAGTAATGGGTTTTGAAAATGTTTCCAAACAAGTTAGAATTAACTCTTCAAAAAATCCATTCTTGAGGTCTCAACTCCATACTCTGTCATCCTATTTATTTTGGCTTTTCGTGCTAGAAAATAATTGAAGTTATAAAATAGGTGCAACGTAAACCTCTTGAACTTGTATGTTTGGTTCAACCTAGCACTCTTAAAACAGATGACTTGTTTGTGTTTGTTAAGATATTCTTTAATGAATGTTGCTTTATCTGTTGGGCCATATAGATCATTATGATTTAAAAGCTTCATTTTTCAAAATTTTATTTTGGTGTTGAATTTCTGGCCGTGATTGATCTTTTAAGTTTGCTTCTTTCTATTCATGGCTCTCGGTAGAAATGCATGTGAATCTTTTTTTCTCCTCTCTCAAATATAGTTTTTGATAGATAAATTGAGAGTTGTCAATAAATCATTCCCAGGGCTGGTGAGCTCTCAGCTGCGGAAATTGACAGCTTGATGACGATTGTTGGAAATCCTCGCCAATTCAAGATCCCCGACTGGTTTCTGAATAGGAAGAAGGATTACAAGGATGGGAAGTATTCTCAAGTGACTTCCAATGCTTTGGATATGAAGCTCAGGGACGATCTTGAACGTTTGAAGAAGATCAGGTTTGACTTTTCACTCTGAAATTGTCTCAAATATCCATGCTTAATTATATTGCCTTTGCTTCTACTTTTTAGTAATTTTATTTTGTTCGTCTCTTGTAGGAATCACCGTGGTCTACGTCACTACTGGGGTCTTCGCGTGCGTGGACAGCACACCAAAACCACTGGTCGCAGGGGAAAGACTGTTGGTGTCTCCAAGAAGCGATGAGCCACATCTTTTTATACCGTTCTCTTTGGCCATTTTGTCTGGATTTTTTGCTGCTGCTTACCAAAGTTCTTACATTTAGTAATTAGCTTATTTGGACATCTTAACTATTTAATGCTAGCATCTCTATTTTATGTTCCTTTTTTATGGTTGGATTCCATCGACTCTTGTTGCATCTAATTAACTTTGTAATGTTCCCTTTCTGGAATATCATTTCATTTTATGGTATCTTGACCCCCACTCCCCCTCTGGTTTTGGTAAACGAAGTGTGTATATTTCTCAAGAGGAAATAAATCGTCATGTGGCATTCATAAAACCAATCTCATTTCAAATTTCTGGGCACTTGTACATGTTGCGAAACAAAAAATAACCTCATATATTTGACATGCAATGTCAGAACATTCCTATACACATAATCTGGTTGTACTCTAAAGAAACTTTGAGGACTAATTTGCTCGATTTGAATGTTAAGGACTAGCTTCCTACTTGGCCAACTGTTCTGAAATTTATGTTGCCAGTGAAAGTAAATAAAAATTGAGATGAATAATCTTCAGAATAGGCAATGAAAATTAATGGAGAGGACGTAACTAGGGTTCTCTTGCAATATTTGCACTGTGAAGTTTTTATCATGTCTACTGGAATATGAGATCAATTTCATACAAAGACGATATAATTGATCTTTTGTTTTCAATGGGAAGGATACAAATTTTTCACTGTTGATGTGGCAGTGAAAATCATAAATATGTTACTTTACATGTATGATTGTTGCATAGAATCGTGAGTAAATTTTTCTTGTCATGTTGGGAAGTTATTCCGTCTAATGTCGGTAAGCGATTAGGTTTGGTAAAAATAAATATGATCTTATGGCGCAAACATCATTGGATATGTGATGATGATATGGGAGGGACCATATGAATGACAAGTACCGCAACCAGTTCATCAATTCACAACTTGTAAGAAGAAACAAGTCAGCTTCTGTATCACATCTGAATATATAATTAAATCACATGCAATTATAATGTTATTATCACTACAGAATCCCCAAGTCCCAGAAAAATATTAATTTAAGAACTGGAAAATAAGATTCCCCAACTTTGTCTGTCTTTGGTCCTTTTTTATTTGAATTTTGCTTCATTTTAATCCAAATATTGACTTAAAAGACTTCAAGATTCTGCCTCATTCAATCACCAGATGAAACAGTTTTATGCATTTTACCATCTCATCAAACAATTTCCAGCACATTTGATATGAAAGATTAGATAGTGCCGTGACTTAAAGTGTACCCAACTTCTTAAGTTTTTAGACAAGAAGATTCAACCGTGAAATCTCAAATTCCTTTTTAGACGAGATGATTTAACAGTGAAATCTCAAATCCGTACCCTTCATTCCTCTTCTTAAAGGGAAGCAAAGGTGTCTAGTCTGCTAGCCTGTCTGATGGTCCTGGACATGTTTTTGATCAAACATTATCCTAAGATTTTAACTTGACTGAATAAGTTAATAGAGAGTTTTGTGTTCAGAAGAAACAATGAGCCCACACATTTGTTGTCATTAAAAGGACATTATTAACTATGATCTAATCTTGTACAATTGATCAATTTTGTCATTATTGTACCTGCAAGTTGACATACGAGTAATTTTGCTCAACTTGTTATGAATAAAATTTCGTGCCCGTTTCAGGATCATTAATATATTTTATGGTATGTCACATGATAAATTTCAACCGCACATTTATATAATAAAATATTTTACACGTATATCGAAATGTCTCTACTTTTTAGCCACGCATTTTCTTAAAAATTCTATTCAAAACTCTTTTTTTCTACAATAATAATTGTCAAATAAGCTCTTAACGAATCCTTAAGACACTGCTGTTTCTGCATAGGCCGGATCTGGCACAGCTGAAACTTCACAGATTGTCTATAAATAATTGATTATAATTCAAATAAGTTGATAATCTCGTTTGGTTTCGTGAACGAAAAATCTCACAAGCATATCTAAGGTTTTAGATCTCCTTATGATCAAGATAATCTCAAAATTTTGTTACTGATTATAGCCAGCTCAAGAATAAGATGGGACTTTTCGATCCGATATTTTTCATAAACCAATCTAATGCTGTTGTTGATCGCGATTTGTACGCCATTAGGGTTCACAATATACAGATAACACAACAAATCGAAAACATTTTATTACTTTTCAGCTCTATTGAACATCTAAAGCAAAAGATTTTGCAGATATAGCAATGGTAAACCTGCTACATGTACATCCAGTTTGTACAAAATCAATGTACAACTAGTATAATTCGAGCAATGGAAGGTGGAATCGAGCTGCCTAAGAAAACTCTTGAACCATTTCGTCTAAAAGTTTAAATCATTATGAGCGAATTTTGTCTATCATAGGCTCGATAATTGAAAAAAATTCACAAATAGACGACAAAGAGTTAACCTTAGAGGCACATAAAAAATATAACATTTACATGGTGTAAAAGGATAAGGAAATTTGATTATAATTGAAGACAATAGAGGACCAAATGCATATTATCCCCACATATATTCATCAATAATTACATGCATTTCCCTTATTTCTGACGGCTACTCTCGGGCGCCGGCGGTGTCATCATGCTGACGAGGAGATCGGCAAAAGCTTCGATTATAAATTTATGTGTGGTTTTTGGGTTTAAGGATAGATAGCGCATGAGGAGCTCATGCAAGTAATCCCAGTTGGAATTTACATCAATTAGTTCACGCGCCTCCACTATAGCCTGCATGGATCGCCGGAAATCGGTGAAGGGGTCCACCGAGTACGTTGGAACAGGAACGGCAACAGAATCAGATTCCGGAGGGCTTCCGGTCGAGGAAGATGGGTTTGATGCTAGTGATGTTGACACTGATGTCGATTCCACAATTGAGTTGGAGAGGCCGGGGGAGGAGAAGAAGAAGCGTTGAGAGGCGAAGGCGGAGGCGAAATCTGCTATTTTGGTGGTTACAGTTTCAGATACGGAGTCAGATAAATAATGGTAGTCCGACGTGGTGGAGGAGGCGACTGAGGCGGCAGTGGTGGCGGCGGAGCAGTCGTTAGTGTAATCATAGAGAGAGTTGAAGTTCTTGATGAGTAAAGATGCGGCGACGGGATTGCAAAAAGGACGTCTGTGATTTTCTTGGAGGGATTTTTCATCAGAAGATTGCAAAGATTTGAACTTTGTGAAGCAGAACTTACGGTTTTTGGGCATTTCTTTGCCACGAGAACAATTTACTGTCTAACAGAGAGAGTAGCATGTTATGTTCTGACAGAGTTCCAAGGCCTATTTATACTTAAAAGAAAGAGAAGTGAGAAAATATTTTCAGAATACGCCCTATTTGGTGGAGATTAAAATTAGATTTTTAGCAAATTTTAATAAAAATTAATAAAATGTATAGTTGAAAAGTTGGGATCCCACGAAACAGTGGACACCTCTAATTTCCACGTCAAGATTTCAAGAAAAATAACAATGGATGTCTAACCTTAGTATCGAGTTCTCGAGAAAAAATGACAGTTTTAGTTTAAGATCTTAGGAAAAATAGCTAACCTTTCACGTCAAGATCTTGGGAAAAATAGCAATGGATGACGAGATCTGAGGAAAAATAGCAACGAACATTTCCACTTGAATTTCGAGAAATTTGTAGATTGGCAGGACTAGTGTTTATCGTCTCACTACTATCACCATTTCTAACCTTCATAAACATAAATTGTTTGGCGCCTGTATTTATATCACGTTTATAATTGTTGATGTTGAACGAAATCCGGAGGAAAGTAACACTCGTTCGACTTTAGACCATTATGAGCAGGGGCGGAGGCCCATTAGGTCCAGTGCGGGCATTTGCCCGCACTGAACTTTTGGGCCATAAATTTTTTTTTGGGCCAAATTTTTTTATTTTAATTAACCCATGTCCCCAGCCCAAGATCGAAATACCCAAGCCCAATACCCAAACAACCTCTTAATTGTTTGGAAGGGCAAAATCTATTTTCAATTTGCCCTTTGCCATTCCTCCTGCATCTTAATTTCTCCAGACCGCCGCTTCGTTCTCCCGTCGTCGCCTGGCCCGCCTCCAGTCCGTTGTATCTATATTATGTCCGCTATATCTGTATTCTGTCCGTTCGAGCTTCAAGCTTTGTCCGTTCGAGCTTCAAGCTTTGTTGGCCAATCGCCCCTGGCTGTTCGAGCTTCAAGCTTTGTTCAACACTTCGAGGTTCAAACTGCAGCAGAAGAAGAAGCCAAGAAGGTGAATAATGTTTGTTATTTTATTTTAATTTTATTCATAGTGTTTTCTTCTGCTTGCCGGCAGTTGGTTGCCCCTGCCTAACCTTTGCCTCTAGAATTTGTAATTAGAAATTGAAATTAGTTTAATTGTAACAGACCGTGAGTGTGAATTAGTTTAATTTGTAATTAGAAATTGAAATTGTGTATTGCACAATTGAGTATGTCATATATGACCCTATCCAGTAAGCAAATCCTTTCCCGGCTGTTGGGAAGCCTTATTTCTGATACAATTTGCACTGTGAAATGTGAATTGAGTATACTATTGCCCTGGGAATTGGGAAATGAAATTTGAATAAATGAATTGCCAATAGTGAATCAGTGATGCTATTAGCTACATGAATAGAATTGTCCCCTGAGTCTGAATTGCCGAGTAGTAATTGTGAGTGTGAGTTATTTTAATATGTAAATGAAATTTGAATAAATGAATTGCTAATAGTAATTAAATTCAGATATCAAATGAAGAGATACTTTCAGTTATGTCGTTTTTAGTATTCTTGTACTATTNGAAAAAATACTTTCAGTTATGTCGTTTTTAGTATGCTCGTACTATTGTTTTATATTTTTATCATCATTCAATCCATGACCAAAAACTCAACGACGTTTGGCGTCGAAGAAAAAAATGCCCGCACTGAATATAAATCTTGGCTCCGCCCCTGATTGCAGGACAGAACCAGCTGTTTTTCAGCTCAGCAAGAACAAACTAAAAATAAATAAAAATTGAAGTTATGTTAGTAGTTGGGGATGATGACTACTTTACTTGGGTGGGTTGGACTTGGATTGCCAGCCGTCTAACTTCTCATTTTCAGTTCATATTTATTAGCCTTTTTTGGTCTTATTATTTTCAAAAAATATATTTTTTCTCTTATTTTCAATTACATATTTTTCAATAAAATAATATTACACGTAAATTCAGAATTTTTTCTTATTTTTTAACCACACATTCTTCATACATCACTATTCTAAAATAATTAAAAAAAAAGTGATTCAAACATTCTATAAAAGTTTATAAATATTTCAAAACACTGATAATATTTGAATTGGCTATTCGATAGCACTACTACAAAAGGCTTTTTATTTTTTTATTACTTGTACATATATTACATATTTATTTGACTATTTATTATGCATCTTATAGTTTTTAATAAATAATATTTATTGCATTTCCTATAAAATTTATTAAGAGTACAAAAATATCAAATGAAGGAATACAGAAAGAGTACAAAAATGTTTGGAGTAATAAAATGTTGTCTCGTTAAGACTTTATCAAGAAAATCAATGGCACAAAACTTGAGCAACGAAAAGAGTATATATAATTATTCCCTTGATTTTGATTAATGAAAATATTTTATTGGATCATCCATATTTTGAATATCAATGTCACCATTGTCATAAATATGACGAAACATGTTCCATGTCATATTGTTATAGGCTTCAAGAAGTAGGGGCGGACCCTTGTCCTCACTGGGCCCTCAATTTTTTCCTGGAAAAAAAATCCTGACCTGGCCTTAATTTTTTTCTAGCAAAAAAGCCCATCCATGACCCAACTACTCAAGCCGAAGTTTTAACATTTTGATGAAAAAATGACCTACAAAAACACTTTTGACTTCCCTTACACTTCAATCTCACTTTTCTCATCAAGAACCCACTCAATCTATCATTGGACATTAAGAGCTTGTTTGTCTCCCATTATTGGGAGAAAATTAGTGTAATGAGTAGTATTTTTTGGAGAATGTGTGGTTGAAAATTAAAATAACTTTATTTGTTTGTGTATAGAATATTGGGTGAATTGTAGTCGAGAATCTTACTATAGCAAACAATTTTTTAGATTAATAGTAGACAAACAGGGGCTAAATTTAATTGTTCACAAATTGATTCCATCATACAACACACAGAGAAAGCAAAGGGATTCAAACGTATGTCAATTATTTCTCCTCTCGTTCTCTTGAACTTTGGTGCTTGCGTTGTTATTCAAATTTAGTGAGTATGATTGAGGAGTATGAGACTAGGTATTTGGTGTTTTGGATTTTGGATTTGATTAGAACCCTAGTGCTTTAAAATTTTTAGGAAGAACGTGATGAATTCGATGTGTTCTATATATTGCCTAGGTGAAAATTCATGTCAATTTTGGACTCATTTAGCAATTGAAATCGTTGCTACACATTTGGGATCACTCCATGTGGAAATTCAGTAAAGTTGTAATAGAAAACACCTAAGACCTAGTTATCTCACCATACTCGACATGGCTAGGAATTGGCACCTCATATCACCAACTTCACCCCCTCCCCCGGCTAACCCAAACGACCTCCGTTTAATCCAAGCCCTACTTCTTGACAAGTGCCTAATATTGATGTTCCTGATATGGATAGTGTGTTTGTACACCCAGGTCACTAACGAGGTAATACTAAAGAGATGACAATTTTTTATAGCTTCCGTGTGGATTTATTTTATTCTGTTATTGATATGCAACTTCAAGAATTGAATGATCGTTTTTCTGTGGTAAGTACAGATTTACTTCTTTGTTTAGGATGTTTATGTCCCGATGATTCATTTTCTGCTTTTGACAAGGATAAATTAATTTTTCTTGCTAAGAATTATCTTAAAGATTTTTCAAAAGTACAGTTCATGGCACTTGATGATCAGTTTCGAAACTATATTGTTAATATGCGCTCTAACAAGAAGTTTGGAGAATTGAATAGACTCAGTGAACTTGCACTAAAGTTTATTGTCTAATTTAAAATTATTTTTTACATAATTCTTCACCCCCCTCCCCCCCGCCCGAAATTTAATCCTGGGTCCGCCCCTGTCAAAAAGTATCACCTTAATACAAGATATTTATCAATCGTTGGTGATTGTAATAATTATGATGGTTTGATGATAAATAAATTTTGTTATTGCTCTATTCAGAACTGCCCCGTTGTAACATATGAAAATATTGTCTCGAGGGTAAAAATCTTGTATGTTATGGACTTTCATTACACAAAGCATATGACTCGTTAAAATCTTATTAGAAAAATAATATTGAAGGACAAATATTACATTATTCTTTCTAATACGCTACGAAAATCATCTCATTAAAAATCTTATCAGGAAAATTCAGCAGAACAAAACCTAAATTAAGAAGTGTAATTATTTTACCATAAATTTATCTTGTTTACCAACTTCTCAAGTGTGGCAATAGATAGTATTTTTGCAAATATATATTTCTGCTACAAAAATCGTCACAGCTAGATAAATTGGTTGATGGGTTTTACGATGATCAAATTATACCTTGCATCATCGTAATTGTTGTCAATTTTATACCGTCATCATAAAAATTGCCGATTTTATCCCTCAAGCAGACAATTCGTTAAAAGAAATAAAACAATGAATAGAGTATTGTTTTCACGAGCACTAACTATCTACCTATTTTACTTTAATAAATTAGCGCTAATTCAAGAAATCACACACCATTAACGTATGATCCTGATTTTAATTATATTTAATTATCTACGAAAAATAAGCAATTAAAAATAAAACAATAAATATTAGATTTTATCAAAGGGTAATTATATTCACACTACAATTTTTATTTTTTGTACTGCATTTTAATTGTACTTAAGATACTTAATCTTTGATCATCGTAGTACTTATATTCTTAATGACTTTTATGTCGCTGCTATCTTCAAATTTTCCGTTAGTTAACACGTTTTTTTTTATTTGATAACTTTTTGTATCCAAAAATTCATTAAAATGGCGTAAAAAAAAACTTATTTTTCATCATACTTTTAATAAATAAATAATGAGAAAAAATATTTTTTCCTCATTTCAAATGATGCAAACAAAATATTTTCATATACATCATCATCAAGGATGAGACATACTAATTAATGAAATGCTGAAAATAAGAATTTGAGCAAAAAAAATTAAGAAAATGATTGGAACAATGAGCAAAAATTGAGGAGTTTAAATACAATTAAAATGTGGTGTATCAAATAAAAAATACGGTGACGATATAATCACCTTTAATAAAATCATGAAAGGCACTAGGATTTCAATTCCATCATTATTAACCTACTTTTAATCCCCCATTACCCGTTATTAATCAATTAATGTGTTATATATATTCCATATATGTTAACTTTTTTTTTTTCTTGAGATAAATTAATCCATTTTTTATGTGTGATCCGACTATATCCCTGTTGGATACAAATATATAAAAATAAGACAAAACTATAATATCACAAAAGATTGCTCTAAGCATAAAGTGTATAAATCTTATATAGGATCTATATTGTTTATTATCATGTGCTAATTCATACCAAATCTCTTTAAAGAAATATAAATGACAAAAATTTTCTAATGGTGGCCAATCATCAAAACCAAATTAATAAAGGGAACAATAAGCAATTAGCAATCACAAGAATTAAACTAAAAACGAGCATTTAGTAAAAAGGGTTTTTGTCAAAACTGCAGCAACAAAAGTTTAGCCTATCATCACAAAATTCGTGATACATGATGAATACATAATCCGAATAATTTAGAAGAAAAAATAGTACAACTTTTAAGTTTGAATATTTTCGATGATTGAACATGACACCTTCTGTCTTTTCAAAATTATCCTATAATTTTTGCTCCAAGACATTGTGTTGTATATATGTAGGCATAGTTTTAGGTCTTTAAAACAGTGTAGAATTGAACTAACACGTCCCCAAAGCACTTGAGGTGGTTGAGAAAGGAGTTTTCTTAGGGAAATTTCACATCAAAGATATTAAGTATAATATATTTCAAAACTAAGAAACAAAGTTTAGAATTTCCAAAATAAGATATTAATTAAATTTTATTTATGAAATAATTAATTAAATATACATATTATTTATTAAACATATTAAGGTCACAATTCTAAACTATTTGATCACAAATTATCGAATTA